CCCCGCTTTTGAAGCTGGCAGGTTTCGGCGAGGCTTCGGGTGACAGGCGGGAAGGTCAGCAGCTATTTAAAAATGTTCTTTCTCTCTCAAAGCAAACAATCGGCCCATAAATCTGCCAGTTGTTGGTTGTTTTCTTCTTTTTTTTTCCTTCTCCAGGACCGCAGCCAGCCTCTGAAGTTCAGACTTGACACTTGGACCTTCCTCCACCCAACGAGGAGGAAGGGGAGGGAGGGCAAGGAGCTGCTGAGCCATCACGTCCCAGCTTGGTCCCGTCACACCAGACGTAAGGATTTCTGCCTACACCCAGCTTTGGTGGCTTCTCCTGCACGTTCTGGACCAAAACGTGGCCTGGAGGTGGCCAACGTGTTCTCTCCAAGCCCACAAAGACACCCCCCAAGGGAGGAATCATAGAATCATAGAATTGCCCAGGCCGGAAGGGACCTCCAAAGGCCATCTAGTCGATCATCCTCGTGGCCCTCCTCTGGACCCTCTCCATCAGGTCCATGTCCTTCTTCTATTGAGGGCTCCAGACCTGCACACAAGACTCCAGGTGAGGTCTCACCAGAGCAGAGCAAAGTGGCAGAATCCCCTCTCTGGACCTACTGGCAACGCAGCTTTTGATGCAGCCCAGGATGGGATTGACCTTCTGGGCTGCAGCTGCCCACTGCCTGCTCATGTCCAGCTTCTCCTCCACCAGCACCCCCAAGTCCCTTTCCTCAGGGCTGCTTTCCAATCCCTCACCCCCCAGTTTGTATTGGTGGCGAGGATTGTTCCGGCCCAGGTGCAGAACCTTGCATTTGCTCTTGTTGAACCTCAGGAGGTTCACCTGGGCCCACCTCTCCAGCCTGTCCAGGTCCTTTTGGATGACATCCCGTCCCTCTGGTGTATCCACAACACCACACAGCTTGGAACTGATGTTCTTGCAGCTTTTGGAAGCCACAAGCACCGAGGTACCACGGCGGCAGGAGAAGAATGGTTTGAACCCTCGTGGCTTGAATAAAAGCAACCAAAATGAAGGAGCTCCATCAAAAAAGCTGCTCTTCCCCTCTCCACAGCCCAGAGTTTGATGGGATTTGGAAGCCACAAGCACCGAGGTACCACGGCGGCAGGAGAAGAATGGTTTGAACCCTCGTGGCTTGAATAAAAGCAACCAAAATGAAGGAGCTCCATCAAAAAAGCTGCTCTTCCCCTCTCCACAGCCCAGAGTTTGATGGGATAACTGGAGTAAATGGGTTTAAAACCCATTTTGAACCCATTCTTGGCCTGCTCTGAGAATGAATCACCCAGCACCGCCCACGCGGCGCAAACTCGGGGTGACTGGGGAACCAGCATCTCCCACACTTCCAGGGCTGAGGACACCAAACTCCTCAGAGAAACAGGTCTCTTTTCCTCAGGGGAAACCCTCGGATTCGCTCACCCTTTCCCGGAGGAGGGAGATGCAGAAATCCACCTCCTTCTGACGGAGCACCTGGAGCTGGGAGGTGCCGTGGTGGTCCACGATGAGGCGGAGGTAGGTGTACACCGCCATGGCGATCAAGAGGCTGCTCTTCAGCACCCACTCCCTGTAAAAGGCAGAAAGAAAGAAAGAAAACACCTTCAGCCACTGAATTTCACTCAATTTTAGAGTTGGAAGGGACCATAGAGATCATCTAGTCCAACTCCCCTGCTGAAGCAGGATTGCCCAGAGCTTGTCAGAGCACGTTACTCAGGAGCATCCAGGTGGGGCTTGAAAATCTCCAAGGAAGGGGACTCCACACCCTCCCTGGGCAGCCTGTCCCAGGGCTCTGCCACCCTCACCATGAAGAAGTTTCTCCTCAGATTTGAGTGGAACCTCTTCTGGTCCAACTTGTGCCCGTTGCCCCTCGTCCTCTCACTGGGAACCACTGAAAAGAGTCTGGCTCCCTCCTCCTTCAACCCTCCCTTGAGATACTTGTAGGCATTGAGAAGGTCTCCCCTCAGCCTTCTCTTCTCCAGACTAAAGAGTCCCATCTCTCTCAGTCTCTCCTCATCAGGGAGATGCTCCAATCCTTGAATCATCTTTGTTGCCCTTCGCTGGACTCTTTCTAGTAGTTCCCTGTCCCTCTTGAACTGGGGAGCCCAGAACTGGACGCAGGATTCCAGTTGTGGCCTCACCAGTGCAGAGCAGAGGGGGAGAATGACCTCCCTTGACCTCCTGGCCACACTCTTCCCCATGCAACCCAGGATCCCGTTGGCCTTTTTGGCCACAAGAGCACACTGCTTGCTCATTGTCATTTTACTGTCCACCAGGACCCCCAGATCTTTCTCTTCAGAGCTTGTCTCCAGCAGGTCCACCCCTAACCTGTACTGGTGCCTGACATTCTTCTCCCCAGGTGCAGGACCCTACACTTTTCCCTGTTGAACCTCATGAGGTTCTTCCTTGCCCAGTTCTCCAGCTTGTCCAGGTCTCGCTGGATGGCAGCACAGCCCCTCTGGGGTGTCAGCCACCCCTCCCAGTTTGGGATCATCAGCAAACTTGCTGAGGATACACTCTGTCCCCTCATCCAGGTCACTGATGAATATATTAAACAGCACGGGTCCAAGTATTGACCCCTGGGGGACACCACTGGTGTCTGGACACCACCTCCGTGAGGTCCACCAGCCAGAAATGATATAAATATGGAGACTCAGGATGGAGGAAACCAAGGAAAGAGCAGGGGCAGGGACTCCAGTCTGGAGAATGTTCACCCACAGACTGTTCCCTGCTTCAAACTGGGTGCTTGGTCCAGCTCTTCCTCCCCCAGACCAGTCCCATCCCAGTCTAACATTGGGGTGCTGGTACCCCAAACTCTCTGGCAGCCCTCAGATGAGCTCATGGGTGGGTTTCCAGGCCCACAGTGATCCATCACCCCCAGCTCCCCCAAACATCCAGCATCCATCACCCCCAGCTCCCCCCAACATCCAGCATCCAGCACCCCCAGCCCTAAATCACCCGGTCCCCCTGGAAGTGCCACCCCACGGCAAGGTCACGGCCACCTGAAGGGCCACCAGCCCCACGGCAAGTGACTCAGAGCTGCCCTAAATCATCCCGCAGGTTAATTAGTTCAGGGGAGACCCAGTGGAGGTTTCATTAGGGAGGATGTGGGAGTAATTAAGGTCGGGATCCCCAGGAGGGGGGTGGCAGGTCAGTGTGTCCACCCCCCCTGACCTTTTCCTAGCGATGACTGGGCAGAAAAAGAGAACAAAATGCTGTCAAAAGAGGGCAAAAAGCCACCTGGAGCTGCAGGATTCATTGATCCAAGGGGCAGAGAGAAGGAAAACACTGGGAGGAAGCATCGGGCTCGTGCCGCAATTAGCAACGAGCGGCTCAATTAACACAGAGCCTTGGAGAGGCAGAGGAACCTGCCTCCTTCTCCAGCGGGTAGTGCTCCAGAAGCAGCTTTGCTGGAAGAGTTTTTAATTAAAACCGAGCCCTCCACGCTCCAAACGCGGCATCAGACCTTCGCACGCGGGGTTTTTAATTAAAGCCCCAGCTTTTCCCCGAATCAAAGCCCATAAATCCCAGCAAAGAGCTGCAGGTTCTCCCTCGGGCTCAGTTCCAGCCCTTGACTCCAACGACCAACCACCACCACCACCCTTCCACGGGGGCCGAGCCTCTTCCTCTGAAATCTCCTCCTCTGACAACCTCAAGTGACAAAATTCAGCCGTTATTCAGCGTTTGGAGCTTTCTCCTGCAGACCCGTGGCCTTGGATGGCCCCTGAGAAGCTGCTTTTTCTCCCTCAGCCCAGCTGGTTGCAGTTATTTGTTTGCAAGACAAGAGCTGTCGGGCTTTGGCAAGAGGAGGAAGGCTCCCGAGGTGCTCCAAGGCACAGGGTGACCACAACAAGTAGGACCAAGGCAAGGGAAAGCCACGTCAAGAGCTGGCAGGGGGTTAAATATGGTTGGGAATGGAAGAGCTGAGCTTAACACAACATCAGCTGAAGCAATTCTGCGAAGAACCGAAGGTCAACCAAGTCCAGAAGATCAGGGAATGGTTTGGGTTGGAAGGGACCTTGAAGATTATCTGGTTTCCACCTCCTTCCCTGGGTAGGGACACCTCCCACCAGCCCAGGTTGCTCCAAGCCCCCTCCAACCTGCCCTTCAACCCCTCCAGGGATG